CCCCACCCCCCGTACGGCTCTATATCACCTACGTGGGGGGTGCTCTCCACACATATATATATCACCTACGTGTACCCTCATTCGCCACAAATATGTGGCTTTCCTCATTGAGGAAGTTCCAAATATAATATAAGAAAATACTTATAATAACAAATAATTTGATAATAAAAGTAATATTGTATTTTATAAGCTTTGGCATAAAAAGACAAATTCAGTAAGCATTAAGTGTCACCAAATTATTTGTCTTGTCATAATCAAAATTATATCGAGTCTTTATGCATGTCATCATTTTGTTCTATGATACAACTTTATGAAATTTCCGTTGACTATCTTTATTTTAAAACTTCTTATGCAATAAAAAGGGGAGTTAACAGCATCCCCTTAATAGGAGTTTGTGTTGTTTGATGGAGCTTTGATTTTGGAAAGGGACTCCTCAAGCTCTTTATTTATTTACTCATTTTCATAACTAAATTTAATGGGATTTTAGTTTATTATTACATGCATTTATATTTGATTTAATTGGTTTTTGTGTGTCATATACGTCGATTTTCAAGAGATCTACTTTTTGTAACTTTTTTAAGGGTAGGGTTCGATTGTAAGCTAGTTTCAGGTTGTGAACTGAGAGATAAAGGAGAGTTTGTTATACGTGGGCCAGTGGCGAGTTCGTGATTTTTTTGAACGAGTGTACTTTTAAGATGGATCAAATGGATTTTGATAGGAGGGAAAAGTGGCACGGTTAATTTGATTTGGGGGAAAGTCAACTATGTCGACTTCGGAGATAATAACTTTTTTCAAATTGAATCGACGTTGACCTTTTGAGTAAAACCCAAGACCGTGTTTTACGTCCGACGTGTTTTTAGCTGAAATCCATTATGGAAACAAAATTAAAAATGAAGATAAAATTAATAGAGTATTCAATGTAATTTTGGAGCATGAGCTATGTTTCTACAGTTGTGAATCAAAAAAATTACGTATTTGTTACAAGTAAGGATAGAAAGCCAAGAAATCCAACAAAGTGGAGCTTTAGTCGGGACAACTTAGCAATCCCACTCAACTTAAATTTATGTTACAAACTAGGTTTTAAAATATATCAAAGACTCTCAAAATCAAGCGGGTACATCTTTATAATGCCTAATTTTTTTTCTCTTGTAATAATCAAGTGAGCGGGTGTACAAGATCCCGCTTGGTCCTAGTAGGTCCGCCCTTAGCGTCACGTGTCCCATACGTTCACTGATTATTCATCATGAATATTGTATTATTCACTAGAAATGGTGTATCATTCATCATGAACAGTTTACGAAATGTTCACTTTCATTGTTCAAGATAAATATAAACAATTGAAGTACGTGTCGTACTCTTCTTATTTCTCAATTTACAATCTAAAATTAGTTTACAACGGTCGTTTCTATCAAAGAAAGTAACCTAACATACAAACAAAAATGATAACATTTAATAACATGATACCACAAATCCGAGAGATGGGTGATTGACGTTGACCTAGTCCCAACATGGTTCTTTTAAATGTTTAGATAATGTTCGGTATGGAATTTAAATCTTAATCATTATAGTGTAAGAATTAAAAATAACAACAATTAAGTTAGATATTTAAGTATCTTCGATCTTTATATTAAAGTAGAGATTATGAAGTTTTTTCTTTCTAACAGATGAAAGAAATATTCAAATTTAAAGAAATCTTTAAAACTGAAAAAGAAATTTATATTATTTTTTATTTTCAGAATAGTTTCCAAAACTATGTTTGAACTAATCCCGCTAAATTATGATTGCAAGATCAATCCTGATAAAACTCAATGATCACAATTATTGTATACGTTCGGAATCGAACCCTTGGTAGATGGATATTCCACCACATCCCCTAAAACCTTAAGCCACAACCCTTGTGGTTTGTTATTTTTTATTATCTCCTTCAAAGATATTGAATGCATTTTAATTGTTTATAAAGTCTCTTAAACTATATTGAGACGATGAATTTATAAAAAATATTTAATAATATGAACGATATTTGAATCATTAAAAAATAATGAATGTGTGTAGTTGGAAGTAATTTTTTCAGAGATTTTAATTTTTGATATTTTATTTAAAAAAATTACAATATAATTGTTAAAAGAAAAGATGCCCCGATGAATTTCTTGAATTTCTTTGGTTTTATTAAAATATAAAAACAGATTTTATTTCTTGTTGTTTATGAAAGACGAAAGATACAAGTCTATGTTGAGGTGTGTCATGTTTGAATACGTACAACACTATTAATGTCGTATGGTATGTGTCACAAATTGATTGGTGACGTGATTCGCTTGTCTTCAACTGAAACATTCTATATTTTAACATGTTTTATTAAAGGGTAAAAAGTATAAAAATAGAAGAGAGTTTGCATTAGGTCATGTTTATTGTAATAAATCGTTTTTATCCATTTACATCATACAACTGTTAATATTGTAACATTTGATGATGTGATAATATAAAAAAGATTGATTACGTGGAGAGAATCACAAATAGACTTACCTGTCATCCATCTAATCATTTTTGCAATACAATTTGACAACTTGGCATCTATTCTATCAAATGCCACAAGATCAACGGGCATATTGATCAAACTGGTTACGGAACTTTGTTATTTGATTGAGAAAATATTATTCGTTAGACTAAATGAGAAAATATTACAAATTTCATTGTATTTTGATGCATTGTCATTTATTAAAATTGTAATCATTCCATTTTAAATTTCAATATATTAAACCAAATCAAATGGGACGATCTGGTATATCCTACCGACATTACAAGAAAAGTGAGTTTCGACGACGCGTCTTTAGCGATAAAAAGTTTGACCACAAGCAATAGACGATATGTCATCTCTATAAATCGTTTGTAAGGATAAATGGACTTTTAACGACGAAAAATGTTATTGCTAAAAACCCTATTTCTTGTCGTGTCAAGATACCTTACTTATACCCCCAAGGAGTATAGCGATTGTTTCAGTGGATACCCTAAACACCCTCATTTGTAAATGTGTGATAAAGAAAACTTCCAAAAAATATGAAGAATTTCGGAAGAGGATCCAAAAGAGATGACCTTGAGACACAAAAAAGCCAAAATTTGTAAAAGAAAGGCCGTTTAGGAAATGCTTATATGTAAGTGCTTACCATTTACCAGTAAAAATCATCTTTTTTTTCACTTATCTATCGGGTAACATTCTTGGCTATCAAAATGGATTGTCAGTAAAGCATCTCTTACCCAGTAAATGCTAACCGGGTAAAAGTCTCTTCCCTTACTTACTGGGAAGATTCTCGGTCCTTGTTGTGCCTCAATCTTAACAGGTAAAATTCTCAGTTGTTACCATGTTCACCCAGTAAGCATTTGGTGAATGGATTACCCACTTTGCTTTGCTTCATCCAAATTTACAGTATTACCAAGACTTACACAATGTAAAAGCAATCGATATGAATTAAAGTAATATAGCTACACATAGATATCAATCCAAACCAAGAAGCAACTACACAAACTTAATAAATCCCATGCAAAAGCACGATATGGGTTGCATCTACATATAAATACAAGATGAAATGAACCCATCAAATCTCATACAAAAATTTGGGGTATGTATATGATGTACATTGAGAATTCAATGCATAAAATACTCATTTTATAGTTTTTAGCTAGTTTATTTTTTATCCTAATCTTAAGTCATTTTTATTACTTTATTTTACCCTTTATTATTTATGGAGCTAATTGTGTGATTTACTTATCTTTTACATTATTGGATGACTAATATAAATAAAGTGCAGGCTGTTTATTGCTATAACATTCCTGCAGCATGGATTTGGTAGTTTTTAGATTTTTGAAGGGCTTAACGAGCTAAGCTACTGAGCACACCTTTTGTTACTAGAAGACCATGATCTGAAGACCTTTTGGGAAGATTTATGGATGTTAATCACTTGTTGCGATAGTCTAGTTATTTTAAATTACTTTTAGTTGACAATTTAATGACTTTGGCCCCAAGTTTTGTTTTTGTCTTATTTGGTCCCTCAATCTGTGTATAAATAGGGAGGAAGGGTCTTAGTTTCTAATAATCCAAAATTGAGTTCTAAATTGATTTTTCTCTAAAATTCAAAGCAATTTTAATATTAAGTCCTGTAATTACTCTAAAGCTTGTTTTTTACTTTCCACTCTTTACTTTTAATTCATTTAATTTTCGCTCTTTACATTCAAGTCATTATTTTTCGCTCTATATTTTCAAGTCATTTACTTTCATGTCATTTACTTTCTGCATTTTACCTTCAAGTCATTTATTTTATGTTATTTACATTTCTTACAATTTATTTTCAGTAATAAGTAGCTAATGGATGTAAGACAAAGAGTGAGATCATAAACTGAAGAAAAGTAGACATCGTTCTATTTCATTCACGTTTTATAAAACCAAAAACATTTATTGATGAGTTGATCACTTTGAAAGTGTTAAAGTGTTATGGACTCAGGAATGAGCCACTGAATGCATGTCAATTCAAATGATATGGGAAGTAGATTTGGGAAAGTTATTGATAAAGGAATTTGTCAAATCTATGTTTTTCAAATTGATTATTCTCGACAGGTTGGTTGCTTATCAAAGTGTTAAAGTGTAGTGGACTTAAGAATGAGCCACTAAGAACACACCAATTTGAATGATATGAGAATTTGCTCACAAGAGTGATTTTTAGACAACGAAATTTGTTAATCTATATATTTTGAGGACACCATTTTGCTCTATCACTGGTATTGATACCACATAGGAATATGGGT